GTACAAGAGATTTTTCTCTCCACTCCTGCTCTGGTTTTCTTTATGCTGCCTGTCTTCTGAATCATGAGTTTTGTACCCTGCAAATCTATCCTTACTGCAGAGCTGCACTGTAAGCCTGTACCAGCTCCAGGTGAGCCTCTCTGCATTTTGCACCTTGCAAGACCCATCTTTGATATTCTCACTTCCTAACCCTTTGCATCAATTAGTGCAGCTACAGGTCAGCTGGTGTTAAAGAGACATATTGGGGTCATCCCAATTGCTTGGTGCACTGGGACACGTGTACCTTGATGCCTCAATTTCTGAATGTGCATGAAAGTACTGAGATGCATTTGGTACCTGTCAGTGCTTCCCTGTGTAGGTGAAAATCACACAGATGCCAAAGCTATCTCATATCCTTCATCCAGCCTTGGGGCTACCAGCTGATTATGCTGATTTACACAGCTGAAGATGGGTCAGTAATGAGAGGGCACCAGGATGCATAAATAGGAGCAAATCCTGACCACCTGTGCTTTCTAACTTTGAATCACACTAGTGAGTGTGTTGAATAAAAGAGAGAGCTTCTAGGAGTGAGTGGCCTCTGCCTCATTCTGGGTACATGGAGGAGTTGTTCTGGATTTACTTGTGCAGCTGCATCTGCCCTTGCCTGCAAAGAGGACTTCTTAAATTGTACTGAATCTACTGGTGATTCTGTAGCTGCTGTAAGTGAGTTTTTGATCACAAAGGGATGGATGCACCTGGTGTGCTTGTTTGTGGGCCTCTGCACTTCAACTCTGCTGGTTTGCTTTTCTTTGAGACCTTGTGCAATTTTCTCAGCCAATGCTATATAGTTCTTAATGTTTGTTTTGCTTTGAAATGAAAGGAAGTATGAAAGTGTATGGTATTATTATTCTCTTCCTTTAATCTTTGCTTAAATGTTAGTCCTCTCAGACCTTTAATCATCTGTCTTTCTCTGAATTCCCTTCAATTTGCTTCTTTCTGGTGCTGAAGTGCTTACAGATGAATGAGGAATTGTATAGCTTTATCTTAGTCTTTCCTCATTAGAATGCTGGTGAAAGCCCATGGTCACAGAAGACAAAGTAGTTTAGGCTATTCAACATTTTTGCCTCTTCATATTGTTTAACCCCTTTGCTATGAGAGTTGTAAAGTGTTCCTATAACAAATGGATATTATGATGCATATAAATTGGAACAGAAATTGCACTGGAATAATGGTCGTAAGGCTGCAGCACCAAGTGCTCAAGAGTCAGAAAACAGCAGAGTTGAGGCAGCCTGTTCAGCTCTGATCACATGTTTTCTTTCTATGTACCTGCTATCTGAAAGAAAGGTTGTTCTCCTATGCGAGTAGGACATTGTGTCTTCTCTAGTTCTTGTTTTTTGTCTGAATTCTTTTTGTTTAAATTTTCTTTAAAAAAAAAAAGTAAGAGTGAGTACAACTCTAAGTTGAGCCTAAGTAATTAATATACTTTTTAAAAATGATAGTGAAGAAAACAAGACTTCACACTCAGAAGTGGATCCAGCTTTAGTAAGAGAAAGTGCTCCCTGACATATCTACAAAGGTTAAATCCTGCTCACTCTTGCACAGGTCTGTAAGGAAGGAGAAATGGAGTCCTTGGGGTTTGCCTGCAGAGCACAGATGCAGTGATGTACAGTATATTTTTCAGTGGGCATTTGTAAAGTGGTATTGATGTGTTCTCTGCCATGCTGATGTAGAGAAAATTTGTTTTCCCACTTCCCTCATGATGGAATTAGCCAAAATAAAATATATCATGGTATCTTTAGGATTACTTCATATTAGAATATACGTAAGTTCTTGTATGCAATTTATCTTTGTACAGCAAAACTGACAAAACGTTTGGGCTAGGCTAAAGGAAGAACAAGCAGAATTTATTAAATAAAGCAAGTAATCTCTTAAGAAGTAAATGAACAAATTCAGCTGGACTGAGAATCCAGTGTGATTCATAGACATTGTAAACAAACGTGAATTCATTGCTTAACAAAATGTGCAGAAATTTGAGCATTTCATCTGCAGAGGTGTTTTGTCCTCATGGAGTTCATCAATAGTAATATTTCCACTTCCAAATGAAATCTGAACTTGTTTTCATGGAAGGGAGGAAATATAGTGTCAAGAAATACTCGGTACAGATTTCATTTGTGTAAGATTTTAGTCTCTTTAAATTATCTTCCTGTAAGCTCCCACTATGAACAGGCTGCATTTTGCTCATTTTACCATGCTCTCACATCTACTTTTTATGACCTTGGCTCCAAGCTTGATTCTACAGCTGCTTGATCCCATCACCACCTTTACACCTCTCTTCCCATCCTCAAACCATTTTCCCCTCCTCGTATGATTGCACCTCTCACATAACAGAGATAACTTGATAGAACAGGTTTTACTCTGCTAACCTTGATTGACTGCAAGTTGCTAACTGTCCTTGTTCCATAGAAATGGCAATTTTAGCTTATGGAATAACAAAGTAACGGAGTGAATCCTCTGTGCTTTCTTCTGTAACAGCATAAGTATACTGAAATGCTCTTCGCTGCACACCAGTGATCATTATTCTAGTGAGAGCAACCCACGGCCTCCTCAGAATAGATAAGGACCTTTACAAAGAGATGGAGGTTTGAATATTTATTTTGCACACGTGCATACACATGCAAATGTGGCTCACATTACTTTCAATGAAATCACTAGGGCAAGGCAATCTTTAAAGTTAGAGCGAAAGCACTCTTCTGCTGTTCCTTGACTGACTACTGTCAACCCAATTAATACTCTGATAATGACAGCTATGCCAGCTGAATGCCACTGCCAGAAGGCAATTTCTAGTTTATTTCTACAAAGTATTTATCTAGAGATAATTACATATTAGCCTGATATGTTTTACTTGCAGTTGCAATACAAATTGACCTGGTATTGAATCATATGCTGCAACTGTTTGCAATTGTACTATGAACATTCAAAATGACTGTAAAATATTCCCCACGTTGAGGATGGAGAAACTTCCATTCTCATTGCAACTGTCCCATAGCTTTTAATTTTAAAAGTAGGTCCTAGTTTTAATGGTGGAATTAAATGTTTTTAACAATATAAAATACAAATTCTTACAAATATATCTGTGAAACAGAAGTCAGTATCTGCTTCGTATGGATCATTTGTTAATGTTAAAATTAAAATTTCTGATTAATTTTTCCCATTGTGCATGAGAAATAGAGTACATAATGAGTCAGGAAGTTGTAAAAAGAGTTAGAAGAGCAGTTCAGTTTCAGGTGTTTCTAAAGAGGGAAGAGAAGCTCCTAGGAAGTTGGCCGGAGATGTAATGTGAGGACGAGCACAGACCCAGTTCACTACTTTTGTCAGTCCCTTGAGAGGTGCAGAAAAGCAGAGTGCCTCTGTGTGCCCCTCCTGCTCCTCTGGTTCTGCATCTCACATGCAAGCCAGTTCAGTCCTCTATCATGTGAGACAGCGTATAACAAAAAACGCAGATGGACCTCCACAGCAGGTTATGTATTGTAGTTAGAACCCCTGTCTTCCTGGCCCAGATGTGGGATCTGACCCTGTATGACAAAATCCTCGACTACCTCTGAAGTTCAGACATGACCCCAACATTTTCCTCTTTGCCAGATAGGCTCTGTGGTTAATGTTGGAAAATTTTTCTCTTCTGGTCAAAGAAGCTTTTCTGGGGAGCATACTCTATTTTTAGACGTGCTGGAGCATCTCGGGGTGTTTGGGCTCCTGATATTGTCAGGTATATATTTATCATAGCTTCCATTAAGAAATGTTTTCTGATTGTCTGGTTACCTTGGGGCTACTATTAAATCAATCCAATTTAAGGTAACATGCAAACAGAATGCCGCTTCATAAAATAGAAAATAAAACCCACAGTCACAAATCTTTATGAAAGACACTGTGTAAGTACAATAAGCTTCATTTTTCCCTATCATTTCTTCACCTAATACCAGGAAGGTTTCTCTGTCCCCTTCTCTGCCTTCCCTGACACCTACCTGTCGAGGATTATGCCTTCCCACATTCTTTATACCTTAGGTACCACTCAGAGAGAGATGCTTATTGAAAGCATGGTAGTTTTTATAAACAGTCCTCCTTTGAAATCCCAGGGGGCATCCAGGTAGGTGCAATCTTTCTCCCTGGTACAGTTTGCTTCCTTTCTTATCCAGGACAAGGTCTCCCCCTTTTTCTTAATTAAAATAATGTGATGTTTATTTCTTCTTTGGTGAGTCAAATCTGTTAGACAATGTGTTACCTCCTGTATGTGACTATCTGACTAAAAATTTCTTGCCTCAAGGAAGGGAAACACTTTACTTTTTTTTTCCCCCTCTCTGTAGGTCATTACATGCACAGGTTTCAGTGAAAGTGTTTTCACTGCTGGATCTTGTATATCTGTTCATACCTCATGGAAATGTGTGATAAAACATCTGAACAGGATATTAAGACTCTTGGTTGAAAGCAAACATTAGCTAGCCACTTCTGATTGCCAACAGGTTGAAGTGATGAATCCACAGTCTTCCTTCAAGTTGTGCATCTCATTTAAAGAAAAATCCCAAATGCAACTGCAGATAGGGCTGCAAGTGGCTCAGGTGCCTGGGATGGGTGTCTGACAACAAGCTGCTTTTAGGGTATTTTACATATGCAAATTTCTAGTTTACTGGTTAAAATGGCCTGTGACTGACTTCTTCCTGTATAAGAGTCTGTTCTACCTGTATTGTTCAGGTGTGCATGTAACGTGTTCTTGGAGTCTCTTCTTCTAAATATTATTCCTTTACTTTGAAATTATTTGTAAAGACTTCTTTAAAATGAGAATATACCTCAAGAATCTTATTGACATTTTGGAAAACAAATTTGCCTATCAGTGCTTTCTGCTAGAAGTGTAATGCGTGTTTACCTTTATGATGGTAATGTATAAGTATATACTGGCCAAAGGAAAACACCAGGGATTCAAAAGCCAACATGTCAAATAATGTCTTTTACTTGCTCCTCTTTACAAACAGATATTCAAGAGTTTTATGAAGTGACACTGCTAAATTCCCAGAAAAGCTATGAGCAAAAAATAGAAGAAGCAAATCAAGTTGCAGAGAAATGGGAGAAGACAACATCTGCTACAGACCATGAAAATCTGCAGAAAACCCGAGAGGTAATATAACAGATTAAGAATTAAAATATATATAATGAGTGAGATGTCTCAAGCCTGAGAAAGGCCATGCAATGATTTATAAGATTGAAAGAATGGCCTTAATTAAAGAATTACATTAGGATATGGAAGATGTATAGTGTTATCCCTCTCACCTTGAATATGTCACTAACTTCTTCATCCTTTCAATTGCCATTTGTCAAAGGGGAAGTAAAAAACTTTTTTTCCCATCCTTAGTGTATTTTACCTGATCCTTGGTGTCTGTGATTACCCCCAAAAGAGAATATATCTCGTCTACTTGCTAATAACCACAGAGATTATTAATAGTCCAGTGATTGTATCCTGCATAAAAATTTTAATAGCACCTTTCATATTTCTAGGACTGACATTGGACTGAACTTTTCCATAGCCCAAGTGTACAGAGGTATCAACCAAAATAGTCTGTATGAGGAACAGATATATAGGAGAAGGTTAATACACCTTGGCTTTCCTTCTGTAGCCAGTGGAAGGATTCAAAACCTTTCTTTGTCACCAGGGGTCTAATCTGTCTCTGCCTGCCTCCAGATTATTATTAACTAAATTAGCAGTGTAAACTAGTTGCCTCCCACCACGTTTGTACTTCAGAGATAAAAACAAAACCCACAGAACCAAGCAATGAATTGCTCTGTTCTTAAACAGCGAGACAGAAATAGAGTGGGCATGGACTGCAAACTGTAAATCTCCAGACCAAAATCAAAGATGAGGGAAATGTATAAAAATTTCCATTGTTGTTATGGTAAGAAAGGAATTTCACGTTTTAAAAATTGTTCCAAAGCACTTTCCGTAGACTTGACTGTTTTTAAGAGCTTTCCTCTTTTCAAAAAATGTAAAACCCAGAAACAAATTGTAGTTCTACATGACATTTTGTATGTGATTCTTTAAAAAGATAAATCAGAATTGCAGGCAGCTAGAACAAAACTTGCTGAAGAAATGAAGAAATTTATTGTAAAAATTAATTAGCAAAAGAAGCTTGCAAAATTAATGAGAACAAGCATTCTGATTTTGAGTGAAATCAGAATAAATGAGTCTTAACATTAATGTAGGATATATCCCATGAATGATTTAACATTGTCCCAGCTTGAAGACACAGCTAGCTAATCTCTGTCTTTTTTTGCACGAAGCTGTGTGCTTCAAAATGGTGAAAGTGTATTCCAATGTGTTCTCTTGAAGCATCTGACAAAGACAGTGCATCACAGACTCTCTTTTCATTCCAGCCTCAAAGTATTTGACCCTCAACTCTATCTTCCTTAACTTTGTTGCTAAGAGGTGTGCTGCTGGTCTCGTCCAGGGGAATTTAAACTCTGAATTCTATGCTAAGAATAATAGAATATATAGGGCGAACTCCAAACTTTGCTTGTCTTATGAAAATCATGTTCTGATTTAAAGCAGAACAATAGAAAACTATTGCTTAGAAACTGGAATAACCGTTTCAAGCCAGGGTACTGGCAGTCTGAGTCCAGGGTACCCTCATTTTCAAATTTCCTGTCTATCCATAAATTTCATCGGTGTAATGGGAGCACAAAAATTTTAAGCCCTTTAAATATCATACCTATATATGTTTTAAGGGTCCAACTACAGGCAAAACAGACTGGAAGTGTAGGCTGTTGTTTTTTTCCTTTCGACAGCACAACGTACTATTGGCAGTTCCGAGTCAGAACTGATTAGCACATGCTGAATGTACCAGCTGCTGTACAAATCCAATACAGTACTTTGCTTTCTATGAGAAGCTACCTTATGAAAATGTCACTGGATAATCTAATACATCACAAATTCTTATTCATGGTCTATTCCTTATGGGAAAAGGTGGTTTTGTACTTTTCTTTTCCATCCTCCTTTACATGTCCCAAATGTGGAAGGAAAAAAACCTCACTTCTTCCATGCAATGTTCCTCTGCAACGAAAGCCCAAGTATCATTATTTGGTCCAGAGGCCATCCCCCTTTCACGCCTTTCCCTTGAAACCTTTCTTGGCTGTCTATATGCTAATTTTCTATATAAATAGGTTATTTTTCTATATTTTTGTTCCAGTCTTAATTGTTGATTAAAAAAAGCGGCTTTCACTGTCTGAGTCAGGTATCCTGTAACCCCTCCTTTGTACTGATGTATTTGCTTTTCCAAAAGCATTGACTTTCAGATAACAGAAAAGTTTTAAGATTGTTGTTTGCAAGAGTGTTCAAATTTGCCATACAGAGATGGCTGGCCTCTAAACTCTCTCACCGGGCATCTGTGATCACCGTAGTGGTCTGTAACAAACTGATGCTGAGTCTTGCAGTGTACTGGAACTGGATCTTCACTAGTTGAGAGATGAAAGGGTCATGACCCATCCTATAATCTCCCAGCATTCTGAAGGACTGCCTCAGAAGAGAGACATCTCCCAAACTCAGAGATTGTAATTTTGAATGACCTTTGCAAAAGCAAGTGAAAAGTCAGGGGAATATATTAGCTCGTAGTATGTTCCAGAACCAGTTGCATCCTAATTTTTAGCGTGAATGACTCCACATAGCACCCCATGGTGACAAACAATGGAATTAACAAAACGTGTTGGGGTTCAGTGTTAATTACTGCTGCTTTTTTTTTCTACCCAATTTTTTTACTTGCATGCTTCTAGTTAAATTCTGTGCTGGTCAAATATTGACCCTGAAGGATCTTCTGGTCCTCATTAGACTGATAAATGTTTTGATATGGCCTATGCGTTTAAACACCACATCCTTGTGTTTTACTCCACCGTTAAGAGCTTTGTTGGTCGTTTGAATGGTAGGTGACATCAATGTTTCCAGATGCAAAATGCAGTGTTACCTCCCATCATATTATTGTTGCATTTCACCCTGTACAGAAACTAATTATACGTGGCAATGTATCTGGCAGAGATGTAAATATCATAGACTAAAATAATTTCAGTGAGTGGGTGATGGCGAATAAGGAAGAAAGAAGGACATACATGTTTTTGTGTGTGAATCTATCCCTGTTTTTTTTCCTCCTGTAAATTCAACTGGACAAAATCAACCTAAATTGGTGAATAGTTTCAGAATCAATGAAGCAATGTTTGGGGCAAGTTCAGTATTCACTAAAAATGTCTACTAGACTCTTCTTGTGAAGGCTTTTATTTGTTTCATCTATTCGTACAGCAAGAAGGGAATGTGACATCCAGTAATAAATGAAAAAGTCCAACATGTTAGTTGTGATGTAGGAACTCTAGAGTATAGCTCTGAAGAAGACCTAAAAAAATCTTGTCCATTCTCTTGCCCTAGGGCAGATCAACTGTATTTGGACTGTTCCTGACATGTTTGACTAATCTGTTGTTTAAAACCTCCCACAGTGGAGAGCCAACAACTCCTCCAGGGAACTTAGTCTCTCACTGATAGGAAGTCTTTCCTGATGACAAACCGGAGTTTCTCTAACTGCAATTAGAACCCATTAGTTTTTGTTCGACTCATAGTAGACATGGAGAACAGTTTATTCAGTCCTCTTCCAAAAAGCACTTAAACATATGTTTAACTAATCATATATAATAACAGGAGCTTCCAGCTTCTCTGTCTTTTTTTTCCTGTCGCTCTTTTAAAATGACCTTTGTGACCTGCTCTTGCCCAGCAGTGTTGCTGTTTTAGCTAATATGCCCATGTAACAACAAATGCTTGGTCCTAATGAAAAATCTGGTCTTTTGGGAAAGAAAATATTTAGTTGGCTTAGACTCTTCTCAAAGGAGCTATACTTAGAGGTATGAAATGTTTTAGTTTCCAAAACAAAAAGCCTTGCGGCACTGTGGAAGGCAATTAGTCTTGACAGTACAGGCACTATATCTCTCTCTATCTCTCTCCATGTATATAAAAAATCTTCCTGGGAAGTTCCTATTGCAAGATTTGTTTATTAATGAAAATATTAACTCAGAATTTGGGAACTGCAGGCTTTGATTCCTTGCTCTACTGGGTACTTCTTGAAGGACTCTGTGTGAGGTTTGAAAGGAGGACTTAAGAACTGAGTCACAAAAGGGAACTGGGTATTCTAGCGTCAGGGGTATCTCACCATACCAGCTAAGGACCATATTTTGTGGTGCACTGCTTGGGAAGAAATTGATGTCCAGGATTAAGGTCCACAAAACCCAGAACACACCTATGAACTAATGAGTAATGAATTCCAAAAATGAGGCAAGATGTAATTCCCTTGAAATCTGTTTCATCAAGACATTGATACTTTATCCTGATTAAGGTTCAGAATCATGATCTCTTTTCTGTAAATGAGACCATAGCTAGACTTCTCTTGCCACGTGGTGTGTAAAGGCACTGCCGATACAATTTTCCTTATGAAGAAGCTATTTGGTTAGAGTGTTTTCCAAGGATGTGGAAATCCATATTCAGCTCTCTTCTTGACCAGAGGGGGAGCTGATAGTGCTTCTCTTCTCACCCACGAGAGTGTACTATACGTTACGCCGGCAGGTATTATTTTGCTTTTGCTTGTTGGGGTGTTGCCAATTTATATGGAATAATTAAATATTTATTGGGACAGAGTGCTGACACGTGACTCTATAGCCTAGAGTTTATAAGTATTACTGCTCTGAGCGTTAAAGTATAACATATTTTGTTGTCTTCAGCATACCCAAGGGTAACATCCCCCATCCCCAGCGAGTGCCTAGACATCAGTGTTGAAGAGTCACAGATGCCAAGCCCTTCTTGTTTTCTCTTCTCCACCTCCCTAGTGTCACCACCATGTATATTGAAATCTGGAAGGGGGAGAATTTAACAGAAAAGATTAAGAACCCTGCTCCAAATGCCTAGTATGTAAGGCATTGTTACGGGAGCCATACGTTCATTCCCCTCAAACTGCATTCAGGGGTTGCAGGATGCTGCGTTCAGTGGGAGGGTTGGTGGCACACAGGGAAGGAAGTGTGCTTGGAGAACACCTAACTGAGCAGGTTGTGAAGATATGTCAGGAACGTGTAGTTTGTGGATGCTGACAGTGCTTAGACATTGAG